AGAGCAGACCTAATCTTTCTTTTTCATTAGTGCTACTACTGCCACCACTACTTTCAATGGTCAATGGATGCCGCTGGAGGAAAGGACTTCTCCTTCTTTGTCTAGCAATGTCACTCAAATTCCAGTGGCTACAGTTCAAAGAAATTGCCCTCCATGTGATTATCTCTGGTTATGCTCATGTATCACCATATCAGAATGACAGAGGAAGCTGTAGTGTGGAGAAGGAACACTACATTAGGTAGGGTCATAAGACCTGGATTTGAGTCTCACTTCACCTCCTCACTGTCTGACCACGGGCAATTCACATACTCTCTAGTTTCCTCATCTGTGTCTGTAAAATGGGGTTAATCCTTCCTTTGCCTGAGGTAGGGAGAGGAAATCTTATCTCCATTTGTAGATACAGGTGAGGAAATGAAAGTACAGAAAATCACATAATATGTAAACAGGGCTTTGGAAACTGCAAAATGCAGCAAAATGCATGGTATCATTTGTTATTCAAAAATAATTACGCGGAAAGAGAATCTGTCCTCTTGGAACTTCATCTCAGATAGACACAAAGACTCATGTGTCGATGACAAAATGATAACAGGAAATCAATAAAAGAGAAAGTATTTAGAACACATACACAGGAGACCTGGTTTCAGACCCCAACTGTGACACATCCTAGCTATGTGAGCCTTGGCTAGTCATATGACCACTCTTGGCTTTAGGTGGCTTGAGTCTCCTCATTTCTCAAATGACAGGGGGTGAGCCAAATGAATTTTAAGGTTTCTTCCAGTTCTAAATTCTATCATACTAATTAAGTGACCTTGGGCTAGTCATTTTGAGACTCAACTTTCTGTTCTATAAGATGGGAATAGTAACTGTTCACTCAGAATATAATACTTGAGCAAGTAAATTACTTGAGAGCAAGGACCTCTATATTTTAGCTGCAAATAATGGGGAACAATTGGCGTTTATTGAGTGGGGATCATATGATCAGATCTTTGTTTTAGGAAGATCACATTGACAGTTAAGTGAAGGCTAGACTGGCATGGGAAGAGACTTGAGGCGGGGAGCCCAATGAACAGATTATTGCAATAGTCCAGGCATGAGGTGATGAGGGCCCACACCAGGGAAGTTTTAGTGTCAAAGGAGAGAAGGGGGATGTATGTGAGAGATGCTATGAAAACAAGACTTATCAACTGATTGGATATGCTTATTGAATGATTGAAAGTTTACAAACTGTACACTCTCTCTCTCTCTCAATATGTGTGTGTGTATGTATATGTATATATGTAAACACAGACACATATATACACAGATACATATGTACACACATACATATATATATATATATATATACACACATACACATTACATATACCTATGTGGCTGTGTTTATATATGTATATGTAGTGTGTATATGTACATAGGCTCTTTATAAATGGGAAATACTCCTACCTTTCCTGCCTTCTCATACTTTACTTCCCTCTGTTCGTTGTCCAAGATACCAGACTACCAGCTGTTCCTTGACAAGGTCACTCCATCTTCCTTCTCCATCCCTTCTCATTGACTTTCCATCGTACTCTGTCTCCTCTTCTCTGCCTGTTGAAATCCCTGGAGTTTTCCCCAGTCCCCCCCCACCCAGTCACCAAGGTTACCTTCCTTCTATGCTGTATCTGTCATGTACATAGGAACTTATTTCTATGTAGTCACCCCCCTGTTAGACTGTATGTTCCTTGAAGGCAGAGACACTGTTCTTGCCTTTCTTTGTATTCCCAGGGCTTAGTACAAGAGCCTGGCACATATTAGGTACTTATTCATATAGAGATCTATATATAGATATGGATATGTATATACATACATATCCATCTATGTAGTAATTTTATATGTGTGTATGTGATTAGCTACCGGTAGGTATAAATAAAAACAAATTACATAATTTTTCTTATTTAATTCTCACCAGACCTTTGTGAGGTAAATATATATATATATATATGTGTGTGTGTCTATGTATCTATTTAATTGTTATTGGGTTTTTTTATTTATACTTGTGATTCTTAAGACCCCTAGTTTCTTTTAAGGTTCAGATAAATCTTCTACATGAAGTCTTTCCTTATCCCCTCCCAGCCAGGTACTAAGGTACTACTGCCTCCCCTCACCCCAAATCAACTTACGGCAACTAGGTGCCGTAATGAATAGAGCACTAGGTCTGGAATCAGGAGGACCTGAAATCAAATTTGGCCTCAAACTCTTACTAGCTCTGTGACTCCAGGCACAACCTGTGCCTGCCTCAGTTTCCTCATCTATAAAATGGACATAATAATAGCACCTACCTTGCAGGGCTGTCAAAAGGATCAAATGTGATAGAATACGTAAAGCACTTTGCAAACCTTTAAGTGCCATATAAATGCTAGCTATTATTATTCATATTCCATACCTGTGCTGAGTAGATAGTCTCTATTCCATAAGTCCTATCAATTACAGAGCGATTGCCTATCTACATTCCTAATTGAAAATCAATATACCAGGACAATCGCAGCTCAATTTTATTAAAAACTCTTAAAGAATCATATCAATCAGTTTGTATTTTCTCCTCTTTCTTCCATGTGTACATGTCATTTGTTACCTTCAATTAGGCTACAAACACCAAGAGCAAAGCCACTTCTTAGAGGTATTCTTTCTTTCTTTCTCTCTTTTTCTTTCTTTCTTTCTTTCTTTCTTTCTTTCTTTCTTTCTTTCTTTCTTCATCCCTCACAATGCCATGAATAGTACTTGACTCATAGCAAGCATCTGGTAAATACTTTGTTTTTAATACAATTGCATATAGGTCAGGTAGTGACCCTGTTAGTGGTACCAGCCTGGCATAGAGACTAGAGTTCTGGGCAAAAGGTTAAAGAAAAACTTGAATTCCTTTGCTGCCCCTTAACTAGCTGTGTGACCCTGGGCAAGTCATTGGTCCTCTCTGAACCTCAAGCATACATTTTCCAAGTTATAGACAAGTTGCAATCTACATTGAGGCAGAGAGTTTCCACAATGGTAGTTCTTGAAGTGGATAAAATCATAGATTCTCTGTTTACTTACAGGAACTCATGAGTTTGGGATGATTTGGGGAGCAAGGATGAATGTGTTTCTGTGACATGTCTAAATTCACCACAAGGATTGAATGCTAGATTCCTAGATACTGGGATGGTTGAACCAACATGACTTATGTAAGAATTCCCTCTAAAACACTTGCTATCATAACCTAAGAACAGACCTTAGGATTTCTGTTTTATTTTCTTAGTCTCTCCATGGCCTTTCCATACCTGTAGGCCTCTATTTGCCCAAGGGTGCAGTTAACGGTGGTAAATCCTCTGATGTATTGGTTATTGTGACCTATGATTAGAAAATGTCACCTTGGGAGACCATACACTTACTATTGCTTTTGCCTTGTTGATTGCCCTTCTAGGGAATTGCCTTTAGCATCAATAATGTTCTTTTTTGAATATGGAGGCAATCCTTTGTCCTTTCAGCATGGATGTGATTTTTATAAACACCTTTGTGTGAGTAGGGATGGTTCCGTGCTGTCTTTGTACCCCCGGAGCCTAGAAGAGTACCTGGTGCATAGTAGGCACATAGTAAATACTTGTTGAGATGAAGTCATTCAGAGCCAAATCTAGAAGAAGGGTCACCAAGATGTGGAGGAAAGGTTACTGGACCAGGAGTCAGGAAATCTGTTCTAGTCTCAGCTTTGTTACTGTCCATCTGCATAAGCTTGGGCACACGATTGTGTCTCAGTTTTCTCTTAGTAACGTGAGAGAGTTAGATTAATTTACCTGTAGCTCCTTTCCAACTTTAAAAATCTATAAATAAAAAAAGTGGAGGGTTGGTTAACAAGCTAGATAACTGAATGGGGATTCAGGAAGCTTAAAATATTCATCCAAATCTAATGAGATCCAACTTGATTGACAGAAATGTAAAGTCTTACACTTGGGTTCAAAAACTCAGCTCCATGAGTATAACATGGGGAAGTGTGTCTAGACAGCAGTCTGTTTTCCTTAGAATTTTAGTCAGGTGTGTACTGGGGCCAGATCATATTGGCTCTGTGAGAGTCGATTGTTAAATTTTCAGCATGAGCACTTGCAGCTCAGAAATTGGCAAATGTTACAGATCGGGACTTAATGGAATATTCTGTTAATTGTCTAGACGTGTTTTTCTAAGAGCTGGTTGTTAAACATTTACCAGAATACCACTGGTTTTTAATGAACTGTGGTTCCCTTTAGGATGTTGACATGCCAAAGAGAGGCCCGAGGAAGACAACTAAAGGATGAAAGGCCTGAAATTCATGCCATGTAAGGATTGGTTGAAGGAGCTGATGATGTTTAGCATAGAGAGGAGAAGGGGTGTTGTTGTATGCTAGCTGTATTCAATCACTTGAAGGGCTGTGACATCAGAAAGGGAACGACAGATCTATTCTGCTTGGCCTCAGAGGATCCAACTAAGAGCAGTGGGTAAAAGCTGTTGAAAAACAGGTTTCAGCTTGATGCCAGAAAAACAAACAAAACAGCTTCCGGCAGTGGCAAATCCAAAGGAAGGATTCTTAAAATGTTTTGAGAAATGACATCTTTAATTTCAAATAAATTTCTAGTAACCACTTAGAAGATGATAATTTTGGGGATGTTTAGAAGAATCTCTCATTCCTTTCTCATTACATCATGTACTGAGGAATCTTAACCCCAGTCTGACCTTGGTGTGGTCTGAGCCACGACGAATCCAGCTTGGCTTTCTCAGAAGCAGGTTCCTCATCCCTACAGAGAAGAGGGGGAACTAGAAGAGAACCCCCAACCTGGCAGGCCAGACTTGCTAATAGAGCCTCCCATCCACTAATGACCAGGATGATCCAAGGTGGAAGGTGGGGCTGGGCTTGGCCTGAGATGAATCAGGCTATCCTATAGGGCGGGTGTCTCCTGCCTAAGACACAGGCACAATTAAAACCCCTATAAAAGTTCCTCATCTCACTTCAACCAAGACTCCACACACTGCTTTCCAGCCAATTGCCTCATCCCATCTGTGTGTTAGGTAAGTCTTCTCTTGAGGAACCTACTCTCACTACAAATGTCAGCACATTGTGCTTGTAAAACCAGGGCTGTCATTTGCAGAAATGGACCCGTAGGCCAATGCTGGCTTCAAGGCGGTATGTTTTGCCTTTGATTAGGCTGAGGATGAGGTGGGATGAGGAAGTATATAGGAATGATGCTCCTGAAGCAATCTGGCTTACTCTGCCTTTCCTGGGGCTTTGAGTTCAGAGGGTAACACTGATTACTTAGGGAGGTTGATAACTTATCCGGAGACCATTTGAGCCACATTGTCAGAATTGGCCCAGCTAAATCTCTTTTTCTTATTGGTCCCCTGAAATCTTTAGAATCTGCCAGAACTTCAGATATCCATGGATTTTTAGAACTGCATGTGACCTTAGAGGTCACCAAGGCCAAACCTTCTTGCCACACCATTTTACACATAAAGAATCTATGAATTGAGGTCACTTTATGAGGGAGCTACCATCCTCTCAAGCTATGGCAGGGAGTGGCAGCCCTCCCAGGAAGAATGGGGCTCAAATAGCTGTTGGGAAATGAGTTTGGGAATTTATTCCAAGGGGTTTGAGCTTTTAGCATATAATGAATCTTCTAAAGATGCAGGGTTTTTTTTGATGATTTTCCTGTCAGTCAATCTTTATAAGCCTATGTTAAGATTGTAAAGAGACTCAAGCTAAGAAGGTGAATGCTTGTCCCCACCAGAACAAACAACCTGATTTGTTCACTGTTTCTACTAAAAAGAAAATGTCCAAGAATAGCTTTGGTGTTAGGGGAGACCTAGGAGTTTCTGTTTAATTTAGCAGGCAGGTTTCCTAAATGAGCTTTCTAGCATGTTTCTTTTTCTCCCTTTCCTTCCTTACCTCTCTCTCTCCTTCCCTCCTTCTCTCTCTGTCTCTGTCTTTCTATTTCTCTCCTCTCTCCCTCTCTCTTTCTATCTCTCTCTCTCCCCCTCCCTCTCTCTCCTTCCCTCTTTCTTTCTCTTTGTCTCTTTCTTTTCTCTCCTCTTTCTCTTTCTCTGTCTCCTTTGTCTTTCTATTTCTGTCTCTCACACATACAGAGAGAGAGAGAGAGAGAGAACTTCCAACTTCTCCTGCAGCTTCAATCTGTAATCCTATGATTCCATTTTTCATCTTTCTATCTCACTGATCCACTTTCTCTACCATCAAAATTTCTTGCTTTCTTTTTTATCCTCTCACTTTAGCTTTTCCTTAAGGCCTTCCCCTTTAAGCCCCAAGACTCCAACCTTATGTCTTCCAATTGCTCTAGGATAGTAGCTGTTACCTAGTCATTACCCCAATCCTATTTCTTCCTGTCTTAATAAAACCCAAGTTCAATTCCATAAAGTGTTCTTCGCCTCTCTCCTGGCTGCACATACCACAATCTCTCTCCTCACCTAGCTATACCTTTCTTCCCAGACTCCTGGCTATTGATATAGCCTTCACCTTCCCAACCTAAGTCCCTTTCATCATAGGTTATCAGGACACTAGAGAGATGTCAGAGTTAGATCTCTGAGTTTGTTGAACCAAAACTGCACTTCTGCAAAATTCCAACGAAGGTGTTTGAAGGTCTTTGATCATATGCTTGTTTGTGAATGAATTGGGGGTGGCTTTTGCTGCCTCTGGGATATTGCTGCCATCTAATGCATGGCTATAGAGATTCCTAGGCACTGTATTATGGGAAGAAAGCCAGTAAGATCCCTCCTAGGGAACTCCTTCTCTGAAGCATTCCCCTGGATGCACCATATCCTGAACTTTTTTTTTTGCCTTTGGATTTAAGAAACCTTGCATTCATATTTTATATATAAGGGAAGTATTCATTGAATCAGATTTGGAAGAGACCTCAGAGTTAGTTCATCTAGTCATCATCACCATCAAATGGCCATGAAGCCTCCACTTGAAGATGTCTATTAATGTAGAACCCATTGACTACCAAAGCAACCCATTCTATTTGTTATTGTACAGTAGTTCAGTTGTGTCCAACTTTTCATGACCCTGTGAACCATACTGTCCATGGGATTTTCTTACAAAGACACTGGAGTGGTTTGCCATTTCTTTCTCCAGTGGATTAAGATAAACAGAAGTCAAATGATTTGCCCAGGGTCACACAGCTAGTAAAATGAGGCCAGAGTTGAATTCAGGAAGATGAGTCTTCCCGACTCTGGCCCAGTGCTCTATCCACTGAACCAGACATCTCTAATCACTAAGAAGTTTCTTCTTACATTGTTCTGGAATCTGTTTCTTCCCCACTTCAACTCATTGTAATTTCACATCTACAAGTTAGAATGACTATCTGCCTACTACAGTTAGAATAGGGATTGTTTCATTCTTTGCATCTGTATCTCAAACACCTAACATAGTAGGTCAGGACCCATAGAGTACATTTAATAAATGCTTGTTGGTTGATTAATACAACAGAGAAGAATTAAGAGCAAAAGTTCTGCCTGAGATTGCTGGTCAGTCATTTAATTGGGGATTGTGGGATGTTGTCTTTCCTTAGCCTGAACTTGAAGATGCCTCAGTTGCTGGGAAACATCGATGGGATCATCCAGGCCTTCAGCCGCTATGCCAGGACTGAGGGTGATTGTACCACACTGACCCGTGGGGAGCTCAAAAAGCTCCTGGAGCAGGAGCTCACAGATGTCATTGTGGTAAGAAATGATGAGCCAGGTGGGAAAGGAGCACTGTTGGACAAGGGACTCGTATATACTTTGAGACTTGCTTTGCTCCAGGGATTTATGAAGGGAGCAGCTGAATTAACTGTAGCCACACAAGCAAAAGAGGAAAAAGGATGAAGAAGAGGAAGGGGAGGAGGGGAGGAACCCGGGGGTGGGGAAATACTTTCCATTTTAGTCTCCACCATCCCAATTTTATCTTTCTCCCAATTCTGGTGCCAAGTAAAAGAAATATGAATTACAGCAGACTCATAGCACATTATGGATATGGTGGGGGGCCTGGAAATCTATTTTCTCATGGTTTTTAAAATATTAGATTCATTCAAAAATTGCACATTTACATCTATGATGTGAATAGGAAAATGTCTTCCATTTTCAAACCAAATCACAAAAGGCCTAGTGAGCTGCACTTAGTGGGCTAGCCATGAAGTGCTTAGCACAGTGCCCTCTATATAGAAGGTGCTCTCAAAATATCTGTTTAATGATTGAATTCTGAGGCTCAGCACAGAACCTGGCACAGAGTAGGCATTTCATAAATGTTGATTGATTGATTGGTGACATGGAGGTAACTCTAGGTTCTCAAAGTCTGTTCTAGTGGAGGCATGAGTCCTTGCAAGATGTGTCCTCCAATCCCTTTCCTCCACCCCCAAGCTAGAGAAGCTCCAAGTATAGGACAACAATGGCAATTTTGTGACTATTGTTCAAGTTTTCTTTAGCTAAGGTCAGCAGGGCTCCAGATAAGATTGGCTCCAACACCTGCCTGGCAAGTGGAAGAGGGTTGTTGGTGGAGGAAGTTTTCAACCAATGAAATCACTGATAATTGTTCTGATACCTGGTCAGTGGGAAACCAGAATTTGAAGGCTAGCAGGTGAGCCATTTCCTGTTAGAACTGCACCAGGCTGAGCAAGGGAAGGCTCCTGGGGAAAATCTCTTACTGTCAAAGCCATACCAAAGGCTCCAGCATGATTTTTCCCCTTAGTTTTCCTTTTGCTTTTGACCTAGAATTAACTCCATAAAAGAAATGCCTTGTGCTGAGATTGTTTGGAGTTTAAACTCAGCAGTGATCTTGTTTTATGGTTAGCATTCTACAATCTGCCTGTTCTACTTGGCACCCACCTTGTATCAGGAAAGACATCTGTGGACTGTGAAGGACAGGCACCCCTCCCAAGTGGCCATGCTTCCATTTTCTTTTTAATTGGGTGTTTCCATTTATGGCTCTGACCTTACAGAAGGTGCTTTCAGTTAACCCAGAAAGAAATGATATATTCAAAAAACTGAAAGAATCATAATCAGTCAGTTGTACCAATATATTCCTTGTTATTGAGGTTTAGGGGTCAAAAAAGATAGCACCAAGGCTGGATTTAAAGTGGAATTTGTTGAATCATTTTCAGTCTAACTGTAAACTGGGGGTTTTCTTGGCAAAGATACTGGAATAGTTTACCACATTATTCTCCAGCTCATTTTATAAATGAGGCACCTTGGCAAATAGGTTAAGTGATTTGCCCAGGGTCTCACAGCTACTAAGTGTCTGAGGCTGGACTTGAACTCATGGAGATGAGTCTTACTGACTTTAAGCCCAGTGCTGTATCGGCTGCACCACCTAGCTGCCCAAAGTCAGAGGACCTTGGTTCAAATTCCAGCTTAGTTATTTCTACCAGTGTAATGTGAAATGAGTCACCAATGAGACCTATTTCCTCATTTGTAAAATGAGGGAGCTGGTCTAGTACAACAGTTCTCAATCTTTTTGCATATCAGGGTCCCCTTTGGTACAGTCTGGTGAAACCTATGGACCTCTTCTCAGAATCATGTTTTAAAATACACAAAATAAAATATAGAAGAGTAAAAGGAAATCAATTATATTGAAATACAGTTTTTAATATGCTAAAAAAAAAAGCAACTTCATCCACTCCAGGTAAGGAACCCCTGGTCTAGATGTTATCTTATAGCTCTAAATCTATACCTTGTGAATAAAGATGAGGGGCAGAGTGGACCCTAAGTCACATCCTCACTAGGAGGGCCATGGAGGCTTGATATAGATTGATCTTCTTTTCAGAAACCTCATGATCCTGCTACAGTGGACCAAGTCTTTCGCCTACTGGATGAAGATTCCAAAGGGACCGTGGATTTTAAGGAGTTCCTTGTGTTAGTGTTTAAAGTGGCACAAGCTTGCTACAAGACACTGAATGAGAGTCCTGAAGGAGCTTGTGGAAGTCAAGAGCCAGGAAGTCAGCATCCGGGAAGCACCCAGGGGATGAGAGGTGATCCGAGCAGTCACACTGGAACAGGAAGAGTTGAGAGAGAACAAAACCATAATAGGCATGGAGGAGAAGAGCAGACATTCTCAGAACAAAATAGCAACAACCTGACCACAGGGACTCAGACTCAGGGACAAGACTTCACTTCTACTCAAGTGTGTGACCAGGATAGGCAGCCTGAAACTGAGAGACACGAGAGAGGGAGCCAACAGACTGGAGACAAAACTGATGGGCAGAGACAGACTCAGACAGGCACCACTCAGACCAGAGAGGAAGGCAGAACCCATCAGGCAGGGGAGACCATTACTGGAGGTCAGTCTCAGATTCACACTGGAACCACTCA